TTTAAATGTAAATATCTTGTTAATAGACACATACTAAGCTGATAACTCATATACAAACGCCATTATAATTTTTGACCTAAATTTTTATTGTTGAAAAATATACACCCGGTAATTTCTATGTAAAAAACATGATAATGTATACATCACAGATTTGATAACTAATATCTTACGTTTTAAACACCATGGTATCTTTCATCCAAGGGAAAAAAGTTTTTTAAACATTTTCATCGATAATTTATGTGTTAAATTACCATACTTCCTCATGCCTTAACCTTCTCGTACTGTAGTTATCAGCCTTATCATGGTATAGTTATCATGTTGCTCATACCCTAATTATCATGCTGATCATGACAAAGTTACCAAGCCAAACTTTATTTATTTTCTGATATGGCAGAAATAAGAAAAGTTCAAATAACATTGTTTACCTACAATAGACAACAACAAAAGGTGGCTTAGTTGGTTATTAGGCTCAATAGGTATTGCATAGACCTAGGTTTGAATCCTCTTTCAAGCACTTTTATTTTATTTTCATATTATGCGACGAAAAACCAAAAAAAACCATTAGCGATTTATCACGGTTTTTGAGAGAAGAAAAAAAATCAGTGGAAAGCGAGTGTGGAAAGATAGCGAACTAATCATACGGATCTGTCGCTAACGACCAGTCGACTGGTCGTTAGCACAGTGCGGTGTACAATGCAAGATCCAAACAAACATCGACCACAGTCGTGATTTCCTAAGAAGCTTGTGAGATTGGGCGCGGATGATGTCAAAATCCCCTAATACACATACCAATCAACTATTAGCAAACAACTATAACTGCTCATAAAAACGTGGGTCTCATTGACGTCCTGAACTCCTGAAGCATGTGTCTCACTGATATCTTGAATCACTTCCATCAGTCCTCGAACGAGGACCCACCTACATTCATGGTTTTCCTCTGAAGACGTCGAGAGCTCGGATCCGGCTTGCCTGCTCCATTTTCATGCTCTCATCCGTGCTCATACTTTATCCTACGGCTATCTCTTTTTCTTTTTTTTTCTAATCTAATCATCTCCCCGCTGATTTTAAGGGGATGAGGCCGGGCCTTATTTTGTTCTAATCAAAACAAGCCACGTACGCAGGAGCACGGATGGGCACACGGCGGAGGAGCAGATAAGTCTCGTCCAGAGAGCTCACCTACTCTAAGCTGCGCCGCATTTCTCTTCGCCTCCGTAGATCAATTCGCTTGTCAACATCTGTACGTCTCAACTCGCAACATTTAGGATGTGTTTGGTTCGAGTCACGGGCTGGAATGTCATGGGTCGGACCCGTTTCTGGGCCCTGTTCCTACGTTTGGTATGTAACTGGAACCGGAACCACATCATTCCCACCGAGCGAATATTCGGTCTATATCCGGAACATGCCGATACCTCCAAATCGGAGGAACGACGCGGAACGGCTCGTGCTCACCCCTCGCGTCTCCCTCGACGGCCCGCTTATCTCCCTCTCTCGTCTCTCTCTCTCTCTCATCCGACAGGAACAGGCAGGCGGCGGCGGCAGGAGGTGAGCGGCGGCAGCGGGAACCGGCAGGCGGCGGAGCTGGAAGAAGGCGAGCGGCAGCAGGCGGTGCCTGCTCTGCTTGTACTTGTCCCTGCCTCCGCACCCACCATCGGCGCACCAGGCAGTCGCCCCTCCTCCTACGCCTTGAGTTCTTGGCTGCTGGACCACTTCCTCGGCCGCAGATCGGGCCATGAGCCGCAAGCTTCGCCCTTCACCAGAAGATCTGCTCTTCCATGCCCAGTTCGAGCCTCTCCTTCCGTTTTTTTCCTCAGATCGGAAAGAGCGGCGTGATGCAAGCATCAGCAAAGGCAAGCAACATCATGGCTTTTTGGTTGTGCGCAATTAGTGGCGACTGGTGAAAATTGGCTGATGTTATATGTATGCATCGTGATTGTTCATAAAGAGGATTTCTTTGTGACTTAGACAAACTTAATCACATATTGTAGTTCCCTCTGTTCAGACTAGATGATATATATGTTTTCTGTTTAGCACTCCAATCCGACAGTATTTGGTGTGAATTTGTTTGTTGCTTAGTAGAGTACTGATAATAGTTTAGTTTCCAAAAGAAAATCAGAGTTTAACTGATATGCAAGAGGTGAGCTGTATCAAATTCATCTCATTTTATCTCTTCAACCAAAACTGAACTAGAACCATTCCATTTCATCAAACTGCACTCTATTAAACACAGGGACAGAACCAACCCATTACACTGGAATGGAACCATGGCATTCCATTCCACTCCGTTCCTGAACCAAACACATCCTTATTCGAGACGAGGAGAGGAGGGACGTGTACCATGAAAAACGACGTACAATCACCAACTTATATACTTTAAAAAAAATAGTTGGAGTACTATAAAACGGTAAAGACTTGAGATAATATACGCACGGCTCCAAACAATCCACCGGAGCGCAAATAGTACCAAGCACGCATACCAAACAGCAATCGGGAGATGATTAGAATTACTCACTCCCGGCACGGGTCTCACAGACCTCGTGAACCATCTTTGTCAGGTTCTCATACGAGGAACCACCCACATCCATGGCCTTTCTAGAAGACGCAGATAGCTCACTTGCTCTAGCCGCGGCACGTCGCCCTTCCTCTCCGAAGATCAACTCCCTCGCCAACACCTGCACGTCTCCACTCACAACCAATCCACTGCCTTCCTTGTCAGCATCTTCTTTGGGCCAAACTCGGAGCCCCATGTGGACCACGTCCACGACGAACTTGGCGTTGAGCTTCTGCTCGGCCCCCAACGGGAACGCCAGTATTGGCACACCCATGGTGATGCTCTCCAGCACCGAGTTCCACCCGCAGTGGGTGAAAAATCCTTTGACTGACTTGTGACTTAGCACTCCCAGCTGGTTGATGAAACCTTCCACCACCTTGCCCCTATCTCCGAACCTGTCATTAAACCGATCCCCCGTGTCGAACCATTTGGACCGGACCACCCATAGGAAGTCTACGCCGGAGTGGTCTAGCCCGACGGCGATCTCCTCAAGCTGCGCCCGGCTCAGCTCGGCCTGCGAGCCGAACGCGACGTAGAGGACCGGCCGGTCCATGGCGAGCCTCGAGTCCAGCCAGTCCGAGATGTCACGGTCGTCTTTGCTCTGGACTGCCGGTTCGGGGACCGCGAGACAGAGCGGTCCGATCGGCCACATCTTGATGTCGAACCCCGGTTCTTGTTCCACAGGTCGATGTAGACCGACTCGAGCTCGCTGAAGGAGTTGGCGATGATGCCCCTGCTGGAGTACATGCTGCTGCAGCTCTCACACACGAAGTCCCAGTGCGGGCCGGCCGGCTCCGGGTCGTCGAAGGGCGGGCTGAGGTCGGCCTTGGTGATGTGGAGGTCCGGCAAGCCGGGGACCGGGAACGGCTCGGTCGGCGAGCTCACGAGCGCGTGCGGCTTGTGCGTCATGACCGCCCCGCAGATGTACGAGGCGAAGCTACCGATGCCGAGGGTGACGAGCCGCGGCATGCCGAGCTGGTCGGCGACGTCCTTGGCCCACACGATGAACCCGTCGTGGACGAGCAGGTCTGGCCTGGGCTCGACCGCGGCGAGCGCGTCCGCGAACGCCGGCCCGAGTGCCGACACCGCGGAGACGAAGTCGACGAGATGCGTCGAGGATGGGAGCTCGTCTGTGCTCTGCGGGGCGTCTTCGGAGGGGAACGGAAGCTCGACGATGTCGGCAGCGCCGGCGCCGACGAGCCCGGCGCGGATGAAGGGCGCGTTGCGTGGGGTGGTGAAGAAGGTGACGGAGGAGGCGAGGCGGCGGCCGAGGAGGAGGCGCGCAAGGTGGAGGAGCGGCATGGCGTGGCCTTTGGCCATGAAGGGGAGCATGGCCACGTGACGGAGCGGCGTTGGAGCAGCCATGGATAGATAGATGGTGCAGCTGTGCAAGTGTGTGAGTCTCACGCAGTCTCGTACGTCCCCGGTTGTCCGCCGCGCCTATAGCTAAATCTTAGTGTGTGTTTCGTCTTCGCAATACCCGTGGCTACTCCTACGTCTTTGATAAAGGGTGCCGAATATCCGAACCGAATACAAAACATACATTACATCAAAGCTTAACATCTAAAGCCGGATGCCTCAGCCCAGCCACATATTGGGACTATGTCACACACCGGTCCGACGCACTCTCAGAAGCTGCCGCCGCCTTTCATTGGTCCATCTCCAGAGCAGGTACTGACGCATCGACCTTGTCAGGCCTGCCATCGACGCCATCACGATGCCACACAGTGGCACCATCCTGCACGTATCCATCCGCCCGCGCCCGTCGCCGAAACTCCAAAGAGCCATGCGCCGTGATCCGTCGTCGGCCTTGCGGTAGATGGAATACCACTCCTCTTCTAGTCCCCTCCAGTCAGCACTTGCTCCAAACGATGCCCCAGGAGGGCGAATAATACCAAAGGCGTTGTTATCGTCCGATCCGGGAGACCCCGATCTAGGGTTTCCCCCGGAGCATCCGAGCCTGATGATGCAAACTGCAACGACGATGCCTTAACAAGGAAATGACAACGGAGACGCCGCCATCGTCTGCCATGACTGAAGTCAGAGCGATTTATATCGGTAGTCGCGCCACCAGTCCGTACGCCGCCGGCATCGCTGGTCCCTTCCACCCGAGCAAACTCCAAAGACGATGCCCGCAAGAGGGACTACGATACAAAAGTACCGTCATCGCTCGATCCCAATGAGATCTAGGGTTTCCCTCGGAGTTGCCCGCGGTGGCAAAGATCTAGACCAGGGTTGAATCCCGGCGTGATCAGAAGAACCCGTCGAGATTCCCCCAGTTGCCAGCGGACCGCACCTGCCACTGCACCGTCCGCAACCCGCTGACCATGGGTCAGTCATCGGACATCATGAACGCGCCCAGCCACCAGCCACGGCTAGATCTGGTCGAGGCCAGCGATCCCACGGCGTCGTAGCCCTCGTCGCCATATGCTTGGATCTGATGGAGCCGCTGCCGCTGCAGCTAGCCACCTCGCCTACCCAACATGCCAACACGTCCCACCAGAAATTCCGCGCAGCCGCCGCCGCACCGTCACACCGCCGCGCCCGCAGCGCGGCCGCCCGCACGAGTGCCTCGCTCCTCAGCAGCACGCCGCGTCCCGCACTGCAGAGCACTAGGCACTACAACACGGCTGAGTTTTAAAGGCATTTCCTAGAAGGCATTTTAAAAAATGCCTTGGATTAGCTTGACTAGTGGTGTTCTGTAGAAAACGCCTTCAAATGTCGTCGTAAGCAAGGCGCTTACACGGAACGCCTCCATCCATATTGAATTGAAGGCATTTTAAAAAACCGTTCTAATACGTCATAGTATACGGGGCATTTTGCGAAATGCCAACACATATCAGAGGCGTTTTGAAAAGTTGCCTTAATATGTCAAAGTGTAGGGGGCGTTCTATAAATTGCCAGCACAGATGTGAAGGCGTTCAGGAAAACAACGCTTCGTTATGTCTGTTAAATTTGCAAAAGTAGACCCTATCATCCCTATCATATGGACTATTTGAAGATAACATGCCCGGACTATAATAGTAGAATACACTTCTTTCTTTTGTGCACCCTTGAAAAACAAAGCATATCGAACTGGTGCTGCCGATTAAGTCGCTGGTTCGAATCACTGTTCATGCCTTTTTTGTCATTTTCGTTAGTATAAGTTCACGCTCAGAAACAAAGCATAGAGAACTGGTGCTGCCGATTAAGTTAGTCCCATACGCTTACGGAGGTGCCTTGTCACATGTTTAAAAGGTCATGTTTACGGTGCGATCAGTCACAGGAATTCTTGTACAGCAGCGAAAGACGTTGCGCAATACATTCATGTTAAGAGAGGGCTCACTGTAATGACCCTGAAGTGCTTCGCGACAGCGCAACTAATTAATAGATGGGCGGGGCCCAGCAGTGAAAAAAAATCTCTGTGTGTAGGTGTTAGGGGTCGTGTCCAGTAGGAAGAGTCTCAGACCTCTTAGGTGTTAAGATGAGGTGCTAAGCATACTAGTATAACGCCCGTGCGTTGCCACGGGCTCTTCAAAATTTATAATCAGTATCTTTCATTTATCATCCTCTCATATTGGGTGATTATGGGGTGCTCTAATTAGAAATACAACAATCAAATATTAGGAAATTTCACCGAACGAACAACAACGAATAATACGATATCTACCAAACGAATAAAATGAGGTCATATTTTTGGTCCGTCATGCACTTCTGTTGAAAAGTGCCTATCCCTTTTAAAATCAACCCACTGTTTGCTCGCACGCAAAAAAATACATCTCTAAAGTGGGGAACCGATCGGTGCCAAAAAGAACTCAAACTCCTATCCAATCTCGACTTCGTGCTCTTTCACTTCCATTGATAAAGATGGGACGTCAAGGGTTTCATCATGATGACCTCGAGCAGCCGCCGACATCCCTCCCCACATCTACCCTACCCCCTGCTGCTGCTTGCACTGCCCTTGCTCCTCGAGGGAGCTAGGGACACAATGTTCTCTAGGATGGGCATGACCAGATCCACGAGGAGGCCACATTCTTCCATGGGAACCCAACCAAGCACACCACCCTCCGCAACCATCCAATCCCGGCCTAACAAAGTCAAGACCCGCCATCGATCCACAAATCAGGCTCGCCGCATCCAGGTTCACTGCAAGTCTGCGACGAGTCTGTAGTCGACATCTTGACTTTGGCTATCCCCACGGAAGAATCATCGGATCCTGATTACTTTTACCATCACTTCGTCTCTTCCCAAGGCAGCGACACCACCCAGCCAATCACCACCACCGCTTGTGGCTTGCCTACATAAAATCATGAGAAATCCCCACGGCGGTGCTGTAAGATCACCTTGGCGACCTCGACAGTGACCGACTGGTCTAAGATCTAAGCTAGCCGCTCTTTGTAAAACCAATAGAAGTAGGCATGTGACTCAGATTTGTTCTTTGGTGTGCATGCGTTTCTTGCTGCCCACCAGCTCTTGTTGTCAGGACCCCGACTCGATGCCACATCGATCTAGCATGTAACACCTCATATCGCTTTGCGGCCTCACGCACGGTATCCCCACGGGTGTCGCCTTACCTTTGCCCGGGACCGTTTGCGCATTTTGGCACACGTATATGATGGTGTCGCTAGCATCCATATGATAAAGAGCCCGGGCTGACATGGCTAGTCGTAAACCCAAAGTGGCACTAACTTACAGGGACAGGCATCCATGACCCAGCATCGAACGTGTCGGTCATCAGCGAGTGAATCCAGGCTGTAGCACTGGGCTAACAGGACTCCGGTGAACCGGGCTGTAGCGGGCTAGCAGGACTCCGGTATTCATCGCATGACATTTCCCCGAAGGGACAGACACAGGATCGAAGAAGGACACATGCCGGCCTGCCTAAGTGTTCCGGAGCAGTAGCAAGCTACCAGGGCTCAGTGGAAGCACTAGGAGACATTTCCCGGTAAGAGAGGCTACTTAGAATAAACAACTAGATAGTCAGATCCCACACATAGCAATACACATTACACGTACGCATAACATGCAAGTATGTGCTGTACAACATGGCATCACAGCATAACTCAACAACTCATATAGATAAAGGCTCAGAAGAGTCGTCACAGTATTATTACAAACAGGGGTCACATGACCCAACAGTCAGAGCAATCAAGCAACAAGCGGAAGCATTACATGTCTGGGTACAGACATCTACAAAAGAAAAAGGCTGAAGAGCCTGACTATCTACAACATCCGATCAAGATCGTAGCTGAGGTACTAGCTACTAGTCGAAGTCCATGGGAACACTAGGAAGACCGAAGTCTCCGCTGCAAAAACATAAATAAAGCAACATGAGTACAAAGGTACTCAGCAAGACTTACATCAGATCCTATCATACATGCACTTGTATCAAGAGGTAACGTGGGGTTTAGTTGCAGCAAGCCAGCTTTGACTCTGTGGCTATCCTGTTCTACGACTACCAGAAACTCTTGAGGTGAAACAACGTACACGAGTCCACTAATCACCACACAATACACTACTATGGATTCATCCCCGTCTCCCTACGAGAAGGCCATCCATAGCACTCACACTTGTCTTGAGCATTTTAGAGTATCCACTTCAAGTTGTCTATGTACCATGTAAGCATCCAAGAAGTCCATAACCGCGGACCCGGCTATTCGAATAGATCATGTT